AGTTTAGCTTGTTTGTGGCACTAGCGCTGAGCTAATACTTATAAGGCAATATAGCGTCAGTGCTAGCACAACGGCTAACAGGCTAAGCTGAGGTTCTTCCATGAAGCAGCTCTGTTCTATATTTTCAGTTCCAGGCTGAGTCATTTCTACCTTCTCCTCTCTGTCAACGCTCTCTGGTTTCATTTAAAAGAGTCGATAGTCAGATAATGTCCAAGATTAACCTTCAGGGTGGATATAGCTCGCTAGCAGCCTCGCACCGATGATCTACCCACATCATCATTTACCCAGAATGCTTAGCATGTAAATAAAATGGCTCCGTCCATGTTAAAATATATTTTTAAAAATTTACAAAACTATCCATAAAATTTTTTTTACAAAACTAAACAGCCTACAGTATTTTACAGTCTTTATTTTACAGTTAAAATTTATGTTTATCAAATAAAGTTTAATGTTACAACTAATCGGGGATCCCTTTAAATAACTTCAATTTAGAAAAAAACAGTTTAATTCTGACAGAATTGACATTGCTGCTGTCTTAAAACAACTCCAATCTCAAAAATTTCATTGTGGTTTATATAAATACAATTCTAACCCTTTCTATCGCCACGTTGTACCTTCCATAGCAGCTGCAGTCGCCACAGTCATAGCACTTCCAGATCTCTGTTTCAGGACCGGCTCATCCAGATGAAGCRTACTGTGCAGTGAGTCCGGTGACCTCCTTTTCAGCTCATAATCTACAGCAGACTATAGAATATGATTAGAAATCCTTTGAGTGGTTATAAATGCAACACATTAGATAAAAGAGGCAAAAGCCAATGTAAGAGYGACCAACTAACCTCGTCCATGGTGGGTGCTCTGATCATCAACTGGGGAATAATTCTGCCGTTACAGTCCTTCACAGCCTCGTCCTGCTTGAGACCGTTCTCATTTTCTGTCTTTTCAGRCACTGTGTGGTGACTGAGAGACTTTTTACTGGTCAAAGTCGCTCGACTTCCATGAAGCTGAGCCTGTTTGGTAAGGAAAATTTCAGTTTATTTCTGTCAATAATCAGTTGTAATTTTTGCTTTTATTAAAGCACAGCTTTCACTTGGACTAATTTCACTTTTCGTCTTGTACCTACATACATCTGGTAGTCTGAACCAAGCTGTAAGACCCCCTTCTAAGCTGACGTGACCCTCCTCCACACTGCTGATGCTCTGCTGTTGTTGGGTTTTTTTTTTAGTTGCTGATTTGTTGGAGCCGATTGGACCCACTGTGAGATACAGTCTTCAGAGCTTTGCGTGGAAACGCTCCTGACTTGATTCAGCCATGCTTCTCCTTTCACAATCTGAGTTAATCTAACCTGATGCTTCTAATCCTCCACCACATTCATTTTAGGAGACTCRTTTTTTAAATCAGTAGCACGCAGACTGTAGAATAAACTGCCTTTATTTTTACAGTTTATTAAACCTTTTGACAGTTGTGTACTAATTAATGCCAGAGTTGTAAAGTAACTAAGTACAAATACTTCTTTACTGTACTTAAATAGAATTTTTGGGTATCTGTACTTTACTTGAGTAATTATATTTCAGCCTACTTTTTTACTTCTACTTCTTACATTTTCACACAATTATCTGTACTTTCTAATCCTTACATTTTTAAAAAAGGCACGAAGTATGAAGTCGTTACTTATATTTCATTTTGCTTGTTTTTATTCCAGATTGTTATTGTAAAATATTAATAGTATCCATATAAATTTTGCCTCCTAGATAGTGAATTTAATTGTAGTTGAATGAGAAGTATAAATGTAAAAAATTCTGATATCGTATTACTTTGTACACAAACAAATCATGTCACACTCCAGCAGGACATAATCATTAAAATAAAAGGACTGTACTTAAGAAGTATTTGTATTTCATGAATTATATTATTGCTTTTGGCCGCAGCCCTCAGATAGATTTTAATTTTGGGGAAAAGGTTTGTGCAGCCTTGATTTATGTATATAAACTGAAACAGCTAGACTAGTGTATCCTAAATTTAACACAAATTAATTATTTTAATACAATATAGTCATTTCTGCATTTTTTGGGGGGGAGGTCACCTCCTAATAAATGTCATTACATAAAATCTAACTGCTCA